AAAGGAGTAAATTGATAGTTTATATGTGTATCCCTGTTATGTTTTGATGATCTAACAAACTTACTATTAAGAACCAGATAAGGAACCTGATACACATCCTCAAGAACTTAAAGATCAACAAGTCTCCAATTGGGGACACAATTCAACTCTTCAGAGTCAAAGGAACAACAGAGGGAACAGATAGCTACCAGTTCCCGAGAAAACTGCACAAGTCAACTGCCCCAGCTGTAAAGTTGTTGCCTGCACGCGCTACAGTACAGAAATAATGCAGCAGTCAACTTTATAGGGAATGCCTTTTACCTAATTTGCTTACATCATTTTAAGTGATGTCACAAATGCATTATTAACATCAAGGAAGGTAAAAGCAAATAACTTGAACACTTAGAGAATTTACTCAAGCGCTCTCACTGTGATTGATCATCCAGCATACGATTCTCAAGTTCATCAAGAACAAATAACAACACTGCTGCAGACCAGTTCCTCATCAAGTTATTTTATGTCCTTAGTTGAGTTGTAAACTTGTAAAAGCGCTTTACTTGTAATTCCTACTTGGCTTAGTTAAAAGCATTGCGTAAGAAACCCTTTGTACATCATAAACCCTTGTGTTTGTGTCTTGGCTAGATTTAGTCGATTACAAAGTGGCTTGTAATAGAGTGTTACAAGTTAGTGAGGGATTAAGAGGTTAATTCCTAGGTTACATAGGTTGTAATATAAAGTTGCTCAGTAGTGAAGTTAAAATCTTACAAGGGTAGGTCGTGGTTTTTAAACCCATTGAGCTAGGAATTTTCCACTTAAAATTTCTCTTGTCATTTACTTACTGCAGTGTGCGTGGTTTCTATGGGAACTAATAGAGAACCAGGTTCTCTATATAGTTTGGTGGACCCTTAAATTCTATCATATACACATCAATACTTTATTTATGACGTACTCTACTCTGCCCTTTTATGCAATACTCCCTCCGGTCCACAATATGTGACCAATTTGCTTTTTTATTTTGGTCCAAAATAAGTGTCCATTTATATAATCAAGAAAAAATTCAATTTATTTTTCCAAAATTACCCTTATGTACGTATCCCTAAAACGTCATTTACTCCTCACATTTGAGAAGACAAGTATGTGCTACTATAACTATGGTGCAACATTTAATGAAGGGTAGTTTAATCACACTAACTATTTTCGTCTAGAATTTAGTATTTCCTTAATGGTTATTTTTGTCACTTATATGGTAGACTGGAGGGATTAATAATTAATGTTCATGCGCATCTCAAGGGTAGATATACCCCCGCATGACATAACTAATAACACGGGGTATGGTTGCAAAATTAAACCATAATTTCTGACATTTATAGTGTCAAATGTATAACTGGCATTTAAAGTGAAACAAAACCAGCTAAATCGATTTCCAATGGTGATTTACACCCTCGGCCGCCATAGCTATCACCTTCGCAGCTGCTCATAACTCCAATCATATCAAAGCGACCAGCGAAAACCTAGCTGCTACTGCTATTTCTCCCTCGCCGGCGGCTTCTCTCCCCTAGTTTAGCCATCTGCTGCAGCAGCAAACGGTACTAAGGTCTCATTCCTTATTTGGAAGAATTTGCAAAAGTTTTCGAAGATTTTGTTTCACTGATAAGTATATTTGAAACTTCTTCAGATTTTTTTGGTTGTGGTATATTTTGAAAAAAGTTCGTAAAGCACTTCTGGAAAGAGGCATTTCATGTCCTTAGCTAAAAATAAGCGCGCAGTTCCCTATTTGTTTTCTCATTAAGAGGAAAATGATTAGGATTGAATTTAATTGCAATTTACAAATAAAAGTCTTGAGTATGAATTAATAAGTTCTTTGCATTATCTAAAGTTTGGTTCAGATTATTGGGGCTAGTAGGAAATATAAATTACCCGTTCGGTGTTTTCATCAAAATAAATGCAAGACATGTATCGTATATGTATATTTAACTTCTACGGTTAAGTTGCATAATTTGGCGTAAACATCAGAGTGCAAATTATAAGTATTTGCCGTAGGAAACAACATAAGATTTTGTTAATTAAACCCTCGATGCTAGATATATAAACCCATAGAAATTAAGTTGCTAGTATCTGTTTTCTTTTATATTAACACCATATCTCTCAGCAAATTTAGGAGGTTAGATTTTCAAGCCTGTCTCCTAGGGTGTATCCAACATAGAGAAGATTTCAAGCCTGGTTGACAGCTAGAAATTTGTCATTTATAACGAACATGTCGTTTATTGATACTTGCAAAGTCTTGTAAATTTTGATGAGCTTGGATGTTGTTTAAATATATGCAGAGACAATTGAAATTACAAGTTCATGGCTTTCTTCCGGGCATTCTTGAACAGTCCTGTTGGCCCTAAAACAACTCACTTCTGGGGACCTATGGCCAATTGGGGATTTGTCATTGCTGTATGTTCCCAACCTCAGTTTGTCGTTTTCGTTACATTATCTAATGTATAATGTTCCTTCTCTCTTTTTTTCCGAGTGCAACTCTCTGAAATTTATGTGAACTAATATGTTAGGGAATGATGGATTCAAGGAAGCCCCCAGATGCAATATCTGGAAATATGACTGCAGGTGAATATTATCGTCATTTTACTAAAACAGTCTATCGGAAACAACCTCTCTGCTTTTTTAAAGGCGGGAGTAAGGTCTGCGTACACTCCACCCTCCCCAGACCCCACTTGTGGGATTACACTGGGTTGTTATTGGTGTTGTTGTTTACTAAAACAATTGTCTGCTTCTGGTGCTCCGTGCTCGGCTTTTGATCTTGCATAAAATATTGACTCAGTTTTAGACCATTCTTAAATTGTGGAATTCTGATATTGCTTGTGTCTCTTTGGGTGCAGTATTATGTGTGTATTCCTTATTGTGTATGAGATTTGCATGGATGGTACGTCCTCGCAATCATCTGCTTCTGGCTTGCCATGTTTCAAATGAGTCAGTGCAGCTCTATCAACTTTCCCGTTGGCTAAAGCATCAGCGGTAAGTGTCTCAATTCACAAGTTCAGTAGTGACACTAGCAGAAATAACAACACTATTTGAACAATTACGAAATACTTCACAAGTTTTGGTACCTGAACCAGAGTTTTGAGTGCCTTAATTTGATGTAAATCTGGCTGGATCAACTTTCCCTTTTCCTGTATTAATCACCTTTTGCCTTCTTGTTTCAGTGAAAAATAAAATCTGATCTTTTTCATGCTGTGCTTATCTTTAGGTACTTGCCGCAGAAGGAAGACAATGTTTCTTATTGACTTAAGTTCCTTTGTTTCATTACCCGACAAGTTGACGACCAAAAGAGAGCAAAAGTTGCTTCATATTCCGCTTGTACTAAAACAACTTGTATTTTTACACTAAATTACATATATGCAAGGTGCCAAATTATTGCATGTTTCCTTATTTCTTCTATAATAGAGTTAGCTATCTTTGTGGTAATGTACAAAGTTGTGAAGAGAACCGAACAGATGGAACGAGGGAAGCGGCTCATTGGCAATAGCTCCATAGTCTTCTGCTCATAATCCTAATAACCTATCTGACATTATATCATTTAGTCAGATCTTTTGACCAAATTTAAATCCAAATCAAAGCACAAATACAAATACAAATACAAATCTGAATTCGAAGCTGGAGCGAGCGACGACAACGACGACGACGCGTGGCTTGTCTTCTTTTCAATTCTCTAGAAGCTAGAAAAAGTGCTTCTCTATATAAGCACAAGAATTTTTTTTCTTTTTCTCCGATGGGATAAAGTTTCTTAGTAAAAATAAATCTTTTTTAAATTTTTTATTTTTCTCCTTTCTCTGCCCTTTATTTTCTATTCATACCACAACTAAAAATGCAACAATCCTCACATAAATGGGGAATCACTATATAATAAAATATGCATGAAAGAAGTGTGTGATTCGCTAGTAAGGAGTAATCGCATCTTGATAAGTATATTTCCCTTGAACTTTCTGTGATGAACGTATATCGGATATACTCGGTTAATCGGTAGATTTGCATCTTTGAATTGTCGAGCTTTGGTATATACCTAGGCAACATAAGTCGCACAATCAATACTTATCTGTCTTTAGTTTTCATTGTTTTATTCATTTCACCCTTTATGAGCACTGTCTTATTTTGTAAGTACCTAGAGAATTAGCCTTTCAAAAATTTCCTTCAAGGGGCTTACATTTTTGACTTACATAGGTAATTCATAAACGTGTAATCCCATAGATATACTATTTCATAATCTCATATCAAACTTAGAAAATCATTAAAAGCCTTAACACCTTATCCTTTTTACTAAATATCATCTCATCACGAGAATGGTCTAAAATTTTATTTGACAATGTTGAACGGTAATTCATAACTTTATTTGATATCCTTGAACCTAGGTCTTAGAATCTCCAGTTTACCGCCGTGAAGCTTATGGTCGGTCATAATCTTATTTCCCTCGATGATCTCTCGACCGTCTCTCTAGTTAGGCATTTTGTAAGTGGATCCGACATAATCTTTTTACATTAAATAGTCAATTGTGATAATTTCACTAAAGAATAGTTGCCTAACGGTATTATGGCTTTATCGTATGTGACAAGATTTTTCGTTATACATAACGCTCTCAATCCTTTTTTATTGTTGCTTGTCTATCGCAATATATGCATATAGGTACCAATTGCTTAGGCCAAAATGGAATATATTCTGAGAAATTTTAAAGTCATTCAGCTTCTTTACGGGCTTTGTCTAAAGCAATTAGACTGCATTGTAGATCAGGTGATGCATGTCTATTTGGACGATTATGTCACGACCTTATTCCCACCGTAGGTTGTGATGGTACCCAACGCTAACGTTAGGCAAACCAAAAATAAACAATCAACTCAAGCAACCCTTCATAACACTTTTTTAAAATGGCGAAATACATAAACAACCCCTCCAAGTTGTCCACAACAATCAGTTGAACACCTCAACTGAGACGATTTCCAGTTAAAAACTTCAAGTAGTTATAAAGTATATCAAGTAAACACTTTGCGCTGACATGGCAAATCAATTGTGTCTCACTACAAATTAAGCGCGTGAGAACATGAATTGTGTTCTTTTCTTTTTCTTTTCAGTTTAAAAAATAACCTTTATTTTTGTGGACCCACATACCTTCATCTTTACTTCCCCTTCTTCTACCAGCTTCTGAACTAAACTCCTCGGCAGCTTCATCTTCAACTGAATCGGTCCATTATTCGGCTTCGAAATCGACAAATCAGAAGCCGATCTTCGGTTTAACATGAGACACTCGAGCCGATCCTTTGCACTCATCTGAACAGCAGATTTCACTCTTCTTGGAACTCTACTAATTTCTTCTTTAGGAAACAAAGGCAATTCAACAAGGAAATATATTTTGTTTGGCTTCAGTTCTTGTTCTGGTTTCAGTGACTTAGCTCTGAAACCAAACTTCTTCACTGCTTCTGATTCCAGTAAAACATGACCTGGGTAGTCTTTTACTACGTCCAACGTTGTTACTGGTGTTATCAGTTTCAAGATTTCGCCATTAATCTTCATCACTTCAAGGTTCAATCTAAATTTTTCTTTGCCCAATTTTTTCAGATGAAATGGTGGTCATGAGTTCAACGAGTAAGGGGAAGGTTTTGAGAAAGCTTGGAAGAAGAGTTAGGGGAAGGAGGAACGTTGGTTTAGGAGAAAAGTTTTTTTCTTTTTTAAATATTTTTTTTGTTAATTATATGTGTCAAATTCTTATGGCAAAATTACACGTGTCATTTTTTGATTGGTTCATTTGCCATGTCATCCGCAAGTGCAACTCACGCATATGGCCCGCTGTACTCAGGTGTTTGCTTGACCTACTTTATAAGTACTTGAAGTGTTTAACTGGAAATAGTCTCAGTTGAGGTGTTCAACTGACCGTCATGGACAACTTGAAGGGGCCGTTTATGTATTTCGCCTTTTAAAATCAAGAATATCAATAATAAAGAGGACTTAAGTTTAGAAACCATGGTTAAATATTTCATTCTTACTAAGTCACGAAGTATGAACAAAACATGAAGCGAAATTATATAAATATTAGGCACAACCATGAACATCTACTAAAAATTTCTAAAACCCGGTGTTACAAGTGCATGAATATCTAATAGAATATACAAAACCACTATAGGTACTGTCCGAAATAAAAAAAATAAACAAAATAAGATAAACATAGGGGGAATGAGACTCCTAGCGCTACAGGTCGAAGTATGGAAAGTAGCTCACCACTAAGTCTCCAACTGATGCGACTATGCACCTGAGTGACCACCTGATGTACATGTCTCAGTACCTGCATAATTAGTGCAGAAGTACGTATGAGTACGTAAATCATTGCGTACCCAGTAAATATCTAGTCTAACCTCGAAGAAGTAGTGACGAGGGATCGATATCGACAGTTACTAGTAGTCCAATTACAATGTACATAAAAGTAGACAGGTATGAAGTCCAACAAGTAGCAACAAATAGATAAATATAAATAAGATGGTTCTCAACATAAGAATAATTACGAAATTATCAAATAGCACAAACTGCGTTGAAGGAAACAAATAATACCAATATCAAGTACAATATCAAATCTCAGGTCAGAAAAACTCATATGTACTCTAACTCTAACGAATGTAACGCACAATTTTGTTGTGGCGAACGACCCAATCTTATAAGAGCAGTGTTACATAATACTGTCGAGGTCGTACGGCCCAATCCTTAGATGCATCTCATAATACTGCCGAGGCGAACGACCTGCTCTCATAATAATATCTCATAACACTGCCGAGGTGAATGACAATCTCATAGGAATAGAGAAACCATCATCAAACCACTAGCCCCACTTGCAAAGATACGTGCGAGTCAAGAAAACATGGAACTACCGATCACATAAATACAATATGAGGATAGGAATACAAGAGAAATCATAATTTTTACCAACAATCAAATATCCCGCCAAAACTAAAGTAAAGAGGCTCGGTCAAATATGTAAATTCTAGTCTCAAGCTCATTTATAAATTCAAGTAATCAAACATGCAAGAATAATTCAAGTAGTATAGTTAAGGTATGATGTAGGTCTAAGAGGGTGTTTGGATTGGCCTATTTTAAGTGCTTATCAGCTTTTAAGCACTTTTCTAATTTTTGTGGTGTTTGACAATGATAGAAAGTGCTTAAAAGCGTTTACTTTTAGGCAGTAAAAGTACAAAAATAAGCCAAAAGTCGAAAGTTGGATATCGCCAATTTATGGGTTTTGGCTTTTAACTTAAAAGTTATTTTTTAAAAGCCAATCCAAACACCCTCTAAGTCTAACCGGACATAAATAAGATCTAGCTTATGCACGGACGCTCGTCACCTCGTGCGTACGTAGCACCCAAAGCATGTAGCACATAGTAAATAAAATACCTGCAGGGATAATTTCCTCTTATAAGATTAAGCAAGAGATTGTTTTCAAGTCCAGTACTCGATTCCCACACTTACTAAAACATCAAATCGATTCCGAGCAATGCAAAGCTAGACAAAGGAATGTGCAAATCAATCACTATATGCTCAAGCACTCATGATTTAACTATTAGAATCAATTTCCAACCCCGCTCGAAAAGTAAACAAAAGTCAATCACGGGCCCACGTACCGGATTTTCAATTTTTTTTGAAGATAAATATTTTTCATGGCATCACGAACTCAAATATATAATTTATATTCAATTCAATAACCAATTTTGTGGTCAAGTTGTATTTTTATCAATTCTAGTTTTTCTAATCAAAATCCCCAAAATTTTACTAATTTCTATGTTATCTCACATAATACATGTATTTAACTCACAATATGTAAAAAATCAATTACCTAGTGATGCTTAATGATAATGGCCCTTCAAAAATCTCCCAAATCGTCCAAGCCAAGAAAAAATAGAGTGAAATAAGCCTAAGTCCCGTATTAAAACTTATAATCTGCCCAGGCATCCTTCATCAAGATCGCGAAAGCATCGCGATCGCGAAGCCCAATGCTTCCCCTGCCAAGGTCTCCTTCTTTGCGTTCGCGATTGCCAAGATACGTTCGCGAAGAACACCCTCAGCTAACCCTTCGTGTTCGTGGACACACAGCCGCATTCGCGAAAGCCAAAGTCTGCCAGCCCATTCCTTCCTCTTCCTTCTTCGCGTTCGCGAAGGCACCTCCACATTCACGAAGAGGAGCCAGGTCCTCCATCGCGTTCGTTCGGCCTGCTTCGCGTTCCCAAAGAGCAACCACTGCCCCCTTCCAAATTCCTTCTTCGCGATCGCGGGACCACCTTCGAGATCGCGAAGAACACCAACAAAAATCTGCCAACTTCAACATTGTTCTAGGTGGTCCAAAACTCACCCTAGCCACCCGGGACCCCTCATTTATACCAACAAGTCCATAAACATAATCCAGACCTATTCGAGGCCTCGGAACATATAAAATAACATTGCAACCAAGAACTACACCGCAAACTAACTACCCAACTTCTAAACTTCAAACTTCTTTCAACTAGATCCGAACGCGATGAATCATACTTAGACAACTAAAAATGATACCAAATTTTACACACAAGTCCAATATGGAAAAACGAACCTACTCCAAGTTCAAAATGCCAAACGGGATCCAATATCACCAAAAGTCCACTTCAAGTCAAACTTAAAATACTCTAAAACCTTCAAAATGCCTACTTTTATCAATAAGCGTTGAAACGCTCGCGGTCCACCCGAGATTAGATCCGAATATACGCGCAATTTCAAAAGTACAATACGAACCCATTGGAACCTTCAAATCCCCATTTTGAGGTCGTTTACTCAAAGTTTTGACTTAAGTCAAACTCGGCCACCTTAGGCCACTATTATGGAACTAAGTGTTCCGAATTCAACCAAACCCTTTCAAAATGAAACAAGCCGCCCTGCAAGTCATAAAATAGGAAAAACACACACTAGAAGTCTTAAACAGTGGAATAGGATTCTAGAAAGCAAAACGTCCGGTTGAACTTTTATATTCTCTACCTCTTAAATAAATGTTCGTCCTCGAACGAGTTCAAAATCATACCTAAAGTGCCAAATAAGTGTAGATATCTGCTCTGCATGTCCTCTTCAGTTTTCCAATTCGCCCCTTTGACTGGCTGACCCCTCCACTGAACCTTCGTAAATAAAATCTCCTTAAACCTCAACCTTCAAACTTGCCTATCAACAATGGCAATCGGCTTCTCCTCGTAACTCACTCTCATCCATTTGAATTGTGCTATAATCCAACACATGGAACTTGTCGGCATGGTACCTCCGGAGCATAGACACGTGAGATGCCTGATGAACTGCTAATAGGCTAGGACGCAAATCAAGCATGTATGCAACCTCACCAACTCGCTCCAAAACCTCGGACACAACTTCCCTCTCCTACCGAATCTCATGATACCCTTAGACTTTCAAATGTACCTTCTCGACCACCATAAATAACAAATCACGCGCTTTCTAATCCGCGTAACTCTTCTACCTAGACTAATGTGCAAAGTCGCTCCTGAATCAACTTTACCTTATCCAAGGCATTCTTTACCAAACTAGTACCATACAACCTAGCCTCCCGAGCTCGAACCAATCGATAGGGGAACTACATCGTCGACCATTTTTAGGGTACTAGTCTTATGTTACGCGCGTTGCGCGTGCACCCAACTCAATTAGTACATACTTTTTTAAAAATCATATAAATATTATATTAAAATTTGAATTTGAGTTATAAAATATAATCTAAGAGAGTGAAGATTGCTGAAATAATTAATGAATAGCAATTTAATAAATTTGACTCTTAATATTATACTATAACTGATCTCTTATTTTTTAATTTTTTACGCTGCCGTTTCTCTTCTCAAGGTCACAAGTTATGTACCCTATTGTGTCAATTTGAAAAATAATTTTTGATGAATTATTAAAAAAATCGAGTTGGATTATTTTGCTAATTAGTTAATTTTGTGACTTAATTATTTGTCACACAGTAAAATACTTTGTTGAATTGAATTGTTAATGCTAGCTCATGCCAAATTTCAAATATTCAATAATTATTGTTTTTTCAATCATATTCTATTTTTAAATGGTAAATCAATGATCACTATTTTATTTTTGATTTTTGTGTTAAAGAATCGTTAGTGTTATTAACTTTTCTCAACCACTATACTCTCTCTATATATATATATTTTCTTAGTTATTTGTTCAGCTTATTGAGCGTGGTTTTCAAATACTACAATACATAAATCGATAAAGAAAAAGATATTTTGAGTAGGAAAGGAGTTCAATATAATATGAAATTAATTATAGTTCATATATATAATGAGATTAATTATAGTTTTTATTTGTTCGAAAATTGACTCGTGAATGATAAATAGACAAACTAATAATCATTAGATTAAAATTCAAATCACAAAATTTGAAAGCATATACGGTAACATATTGCAATTTTAAAAAGAAGCAAATCTTAATTTATATTCAGATTCAATAGTTAAGTTTTTTATTTAAAAAATAATTCTATGTTGGATAAATTATATTTATAT